CTCCTTCCTCTTGGATTTTAAAAGAAAATAAATTCCACTTGCTTGAAGTTGATTTTTGCTTTATATTTTTAATGATGTGTTGGGGAAAGTGGGCTGGATGGGAGGGGATTAAGGTGCCTTGGTTCTCTTCTCAATTTTGTCAGGGACACGTGTTAATTCATATAAACTCTGACCCCATTCTTCTCTTCCTCCTCCTCTGTTTTCTGTTGTGTAGAAGATGTCTAACGATATGTACTGGTTTAGATTCTTAGGATTTACTTAGTACCTTTTATAGAAATGCAAAACTGAGTTTATTACACTTCCTCCTAATTCCTGTTGATCCTTTAAATCACATTTCAAATGTCAATTTTGAAGCACAATGCCATGTTCACTATTTAAAACTGAAAAAAGATTTTTTTTGCTTCACTATTCTCCCGTCTACCAAAACCTGAGCCTTTTGCAAAAATCAGCAGATTGACGTCAGTTCATTTACCCTTAGGGACAGTAAATTATTACATGGCTTAAGTTAAAAAGTAAATAAGTAAGAAGGGTGGAGGACAGACATGGAAAACAACAGAAATCTATCACAGGCTCTCCCTGGATTTTGAAGAGTGTATGATTATAGCATTAAAATGTCCAAACAATGCAACTGAGCAGAAGGCATTAGAGCCTGAGCCTTAGTTGGCTCTGAATTAAGCAGCATTAATGTTTTCATACAGCCCTTAGAAAGCTCAGACTTGACCTGGTTTTATTATTTTTATTGGCTCCCTTGATGATAGACAAATGGGGCTAACCTGAGGCCAACATAACCAGCAGGAAATTTGGGTCATGGGTAGTTACATTTTTAAAAGTTGTGTTTTAGGGTTGTTCAATCAGGGTAATTGATTGATGGTTCCATGGTGCAGGGAGCTCCTAAATCATCAGAGGTGGCCAGATAATGACAGTCTGCTAGTGGGTTTTGTTTGAGGCACATTTCTCAGCTCCCTGTGGAGCTGTGCTCTGTGGCGAAGTTGTATGTCCCTTTTTTCATATGTGCTCCAATCCAACTGGCCTGTTCATACAAAACAGCCTCTAAACTTGGCAGTCGTATTTGAAGTTCTCTGCAGCACCATTTCCCAAGAGATAAGGGAAAAACATTCCAAAGAAGTTCATACCCCAGAAAGACCCTATGTATATTCTGAAGTTAATGGCTTATTATAGCTTTTTAATTTCTTTTTCTTTCATTTTTACTTTGAAGATAAAAGGTGGCAATTGTTGCTTTAAGTTGTTGAGTTTTAGCCTTTACTTCAGTAAATCATCCTGGAAGTTTAGACAGAAATCTTTTTTTATGATGTATGTTTGAAAGTTTTCCTGAGATGCTGAACACGTGCACTTGCAGGAGCTACCAGGTCTTGAAGCAGGAGCTGTTGGTGTCTGGCTTGTGTGGCTGCGTACCTTCTCAATGCTCCAAGCATTTGGATAATTTGTGCGTTGAGGACAGCATATCCTTTGCAAGAACTCACCTTTGGTATTGTGGTATGCTAGGAAATATTTAGAAATGGGGTACAGTAGAAGGTTTATGTGTTGAAGAAGGAGAGAGGGAGCAGATGATGTGCCATTTGATGGTGTTCAGTGGTTCGTGTCACAGGGCTCGCTGCTACTTAAAGGTGAATATAGGTTATTGTAATTGAAGTTTGTCATCTATTCCAAATAACTCCAGATGTAGGTTAATCTTCAGTTCTTGAATATTTAGGAGTGGTTGGGCTTGTTTTTTGTTCTGAGTGGCTTCCTTCCCAGTAGTTGCATAACTCTGAATTCCTTGAAGTTTTGTCTTCTCCCATTTTAACATCTATATGATCTGAAATTCATCATGTGAGCATACAGCTGAGAATTCATGTATTCAAACATATCACTTTTCAAAAAGAGTGCAGGTAATTCTGAATTAAAACATCAGAAATGTTGGGATGTTTCTTGCCTTGACTTTAGGGTGGCCCTGCTGCCAGCATGTGAGAGCCCAGCACCAGCAACAACAAAATGATCATCCAAGCAAAGCAGAGCTATAACACGGCCATCGAGGCAAGCACAGCTAGCATTTGCTGTGTGTGTAACTGCCCAGACACTCGCGTGGGATCAAACCCTCCTATATTTCTTAAATGTTCCATTTTCATTCCCAAATGCTTATGACTACAGGAGTTTTGCAATTTAGTGTTTCAAGTCCAAAGTTGCACTTACTCGTTAGGTTTAGCATGTGAGTTGTTAGAAATATTTTATTTAAGGTGTTTATTTAAATACAAGAGTAACAAGGGACACTAAAATCCCTTGAAAGGTGGGCCCATGCCAAAACTTGCATCTGTGTCAGGAACTGGGTGGGGCTCAAAGCCCTTCAAAAGTGGTGCTTCCTATAACACCAGCTGCAAAAAACTTTTTTCAGAACTTAATTCCTGCTTTCTTGTGGTTGAATGTGTAATGGATCAGCGTAGAAAAATTAGCTAATGAGATGCCTGTTGGTCTTCTGCAATTCAAAGATTCTTTGTTCTAAAATAAAATACAATCAAAACCAGGAACCCCTGAAGAATGTCATAGAACACACTGGGGACAAAACTTCCCATTCGTGTGCTCAAAGCCAGGTGTGAAATCCTTGACCAGTTCAGAAGTAAAGTAATGCAGTTAACTGTGATTGCATGACTTTCTTATTGTATAAAGCTGTACCTCTTTCTGTTGTTCATTGTTTGATTATTTTTTGGTTTTGCTTTTTGTGAATTTATTTAAATATTATTGGCTGTGGTGCCTATTGTCATGACCAAACTGTCTAAAGTTACTGCAGTAACAACCAAAAAAAAAATGTTTGCAGACTTGATTATGTGGGCTATAGGATATTCAGTGTTTCCCTTTAAGCTTGAATTGACCCACATATTTTCTATGGAGCTGTTTGCTGACTGTAGGATGAAGGGCAGAGTGTGGAGGGTGGCATTGCAGACTGCTCACTGCTGTGTGGGGACCATGCTGCTCTCCTCCCACATCTCCCTTCCCAAGCAACAGCAGTGTGCTCCTCCTGCTCACCGTGCACTGACCCTGCTTCTTATCTGATCCCACTGACAAGCTGCAAGCCAGCTCATTGCAGAAAGTGGACATTTTATATGTGGTTGTTCGTATATGTGCAGCAAGGATGGCAGGTCGCTGGTAGTAAACACTGCATGACTGTGAATGGCAGAGACCTGCACAGTGTGTGTAAACCCCAGCCCTGTCTTAAGTATTGTAGATGTCAGAGTTGTACTTCATGGGATTTGTATCCAAAGTCTCCATTTTACAGCCACGGAAAAGCTCTACAAATCTTCTTCCTCCTACAGAGCTGAGAAGATGCAAGAGAAAATTTCAATTCCTGAGGAAATGCCAAGATACTCAAATTTCTCATCCTTTTCTCGGTGCCAGCCTTTGTCTCCTCACAATCACTTAATGACAACTTCTTAGCCTCTTGCTCTCCCTTTCCACCAAAAAGGTGACTTTTACCTTTATGACTTCACAGCATGGAAGTGCTGTGGGAATGAACCTGACCTACATTGCAAAGAGTGTTTTTTCAGTGGGAAGGAACCCCTGCAACAGCAGCAGAAACTGTCAAGGGTGCTGTGAAGGAGGAACGAGCACACACAAGGCTGGTGATCACTGCCCTGCAGGAAGACTGTCCTCACTGCTGTCATAAGAAGCCACGCTGGTCACTCAAACCACACGCTTCACAGGTGGTTTTGTCTGTTCCTGATTTTCTGGGTTTTTGACCTGAAAGCACAGGGTCAGATTTGCAGATGTGCTGAGAGTTCCCGCTAGCCATTGAAGTCAATGAGAGCAGGGCTTTGAACTCCCTGTTCCAGTACAAAGTCAGGGCCAAGGAGGATACCCAGGATTTGGAAGAAGTGTTCAACTTTGGGCTTTTGCCAATTTAATCCATTCTGAAAAGGCTGGTGTTCCAGTTCTCTTATCGGTATGTGGAGGAGATCTAATCTTTAAAGGCTTCTAAAGTGCTAAGATGCTGCGATTGTGAGTGACAAAGAAAAAACTTGTAGGAAACTGATCAGTTTTCTGCCTGAGCAGTGATAAGTCAGGGGACCATATGGTGACAAGTGAGAGTGCAAATATTGAACAATATTTCATTAAATAAACACTGCCTACTCTGTGTACTGCATGAGACAGGAGTCCACTGGGGAAAAAAGCTGTGTAATATGTCTAGGGACTTCCTGAAAATATATTCAGGACACAGATTATTGCTGCACAGGTGGGCCTAATCCTGAATAGCTGTTGATATTAGCTCTGTGTCTAAGCAGCATTCCCTCTTGTCGTTTAAATGACATTATTTTTGTGTAGACAGTAAAAATTGTCTGCTAAAGCAATCCTCCTTGAAATAGCAGATAGTTTGAGTTCATGTTGCAGACCGAGCACTGAGACCTAGTTCTGACGTCCTCTGCCTGCAAGGCACCACAGCAATAGTAGCAGTACCATGAGTGAGCTGGATGCCTCATCCCTGTGTCTCTTCCTCTGAATGATACTGGTCCTTCTAGGCTGGTTAGTTTAGTGGCAGCTAAAACCAGTGCTACTTAGGGAATACGCAGAAGAAATCTGGGCTCTTTCTGCTGACTGTTCTCGTACTTTCCCAGAATCCACATCTCGTATACTAGGGATGTTGGAGAATGCATCCCTCACCAGTCCTTTCAATGTACATCTTTAGGTCTATCATTTGGGAATTTGTCCAGTTCCTTTTTGAACCTGTTGACTTGGTCTCCTCAACATCCTCTATTGGTTCTGTAGTGCAGCATGTGTTGAGCAGTGGTTCTACAGTGAGCTTATTCACCACCTCTGTCATTTTGTAAGCTTCAGTAGTACCCCCATTCACTCTTCTCCTTGCCAGACTGAGGAGTCCCAATGTTTTTAGATTCCCCTTCTACCCTGAATCACTGCAGAAATAAAACTCCTGTAAATGCAGGTACTGGTATGTCCAGTGCTAACTGGTAAGACCTATAGGGTCAATCTGACATAGTCTTCCTTCTGTATTGCAGACTATTGGAGAGTCAGAAATGCCCAGCGTGTTGAACCAGTTACTGCCAATGATCAAGTCTTACAGTGAGAGGATGCAAGATGATTATACCTGTGAGGACTTCTTTGTCTTGTTGGTGTACATGTATTCTGTGGTTGGAGAAATAAAAAATGGAGAAGAGCTGGACAAAGCTGAGGAAGAAGTGAAGAAGGCTCTAGTCAAGGCAATTTGTGATGAACCAGAGCTGTCTCCTTTGTTGCAGAAAATAACAGGTAAGATTCTGCTTGTGTGGTGAGGATTGGGATGGTGTTGAACGTGGGAACTAGGAGGAGTGTGTAAAAGCAGTTTGACTTGCCTGTGGTGCAGAGAGTATGTGAGTCAGCATGAAGATTTCCTGTAGATTTTTTCCATCTCTGATGTTCATATATGCCAAATACTGACAGGCAGTGCTTGAATAGTGCTGAGTCCAATGAAAGCTCCAAGTTATTCTTTTTGTTAGAGATTGGCTAGGTTTGTATGTTTTTCTAAGGTAATCTTTTCCACAGTTTCTTTCATTGATCAGTGTAAAGTTGACCCTGGGAAGTCAAAATTAATTCTGGAAACATATTCAGTGAACCACAGTTGTTTTGTGAATGCTAGGAGCTGGTCTGTCTGGCACAAAAGAAGAAATGTGTCTAAAACCAACATTAAGCTTTTTGCTGAAACAACATGAACATTAGCCTTTAAAAATAGCACAGTAAGCCTTTTCTTAGGTGAGCACTCATAGGGTAGAAAAGCTTTGACCTCTTGCTGTCAATGTCACATGTAAAAAAAAAAAAATAATAAAAAAATAATATTTACAAAAATCATTTAAATGAATGACCTGTGGTTTGAGCGTGGCATATCTGAGTAGCGGAAGAGATTTCTACTTCCTGCTGTCATTTTTCTCAGTGTTTACTAATAGTGAGCTGGTCATTGACCAGGTCACCTTTGAGATAGGGAGCATGCAAATATAAATCAAAATGTTGTATGGAGCTTATAATTGAAAGCCTTTGCCAAGAATTTGTTCAAGTGAGGAATCTCAAGGGTGTTGGGATTATTTTGCTGTTGGTTATTCTGCTGATATTCCCAGAGAACAATTCTGCTTCAGAGTGCAGATGTGTTCTGACTGATCTGCTGTTGCTTTATGTGTAAAATACTGTAATTATTAGAAGATTCTTACTGAAGAATGGGCATTTCAGACATATTTGCATTGTTTTAATGTTTTAATACTCCTCGCCACAATGCCTGCAGTCTGTGTTTGTGCCTGGCAGTATTTCATGCTTTCTGTTGACTTTCATTCTTCTGGTTTTCAGTATGGACTGCACACCTTATCCACTACAGGGTGTTTCAGTTGCAACTTCAGCAGTGTTTTCTACAGGATGTGGTGCAGTCCTACCCCTCATTCTGAAAAGTTTCTCTTCATATTTTACCCTTTTCCCTGTAATCCTCTGTGTTTTTAATCACCGTTTGTAAGTTTCTGTTTGTTGTACCTAAGAAAAGTGGAAGAAGATGTGAAATTCAAGAACTTCTGTCAAGTACCAAAGTGAAGCCACATCTCTGTCTACATAGAGGCTTCCCTTGTTGCTCTCCCTGGTAGTCTCAGTTTATCAGCTTATGTAGCTGCAAGCACAGATGGGGATAAAAATACACATTGTGCTTGTGTTATGTTACATAATCTATAATAATTCTAGTATTTTATGAATATGCTTTTGTGCTAGGTTTCCAGTGTGATTATTTCCTGAGTAAAAATTTAAATATCTAGCTTTTGCTCAGCTTCCAAGAAAAGAAACACGTGAATGAATGTTTCAGTGCAAAAATTCTTTGTTTTATGGACTAAAATTAATTATCTGTTTTTACATAACTGTCTAACTGTTAGAAACACATTGTGTGAAGCAAAGCATTTATCCTTATGCTAAGTATTTGTTTTGTTAATTGAGGCATCTGAGTTATCAGGCCTATGATTTGTATGGACTGCTTTGGAAAGTTTAAACATTTGAAAATAGATTAAAATATATATATGTATTATATATATATATGTATATATATTTTTTAAGTATTCGTGGTAAGCTGACCCCAGTCAGCAATCATGCATCCACTCAACCTCTCACTCTTTCTCCTCTTGCCCTCATGCTATATGGCATGAGAAAACAGGAAGAACAAAACCAAGAAAACTTGCTGGTCAAGAAAAAGACAGTTCAATAGGTGAAGGAAAGAAAGGAAAAGCAACAAGTGAAGCAAAGGTGATTACTCACTACTTCCCACAGGCAGACTGATGCCCACTCAGTTTCCTATGGCCAAAACCCTGTCATTGTCTTCTTTCCCTGGTTTTTATTGTTTAACATGATATTATGTGGTACAAAATATCCCTTTGGCCAGCTCAGGCCACCTGAGACAGCTGCATTCCTTCTTAGCCTTTTGACCACTCCAGCCTACTTGCTGGGGAGCAAGAGTGGGGAAAAAAGAGAAAGCCTTGACACTATGCAAACACTTCAGCAACAGCCAGAACATTCATGTGTTATCAATACTGTTTCAACCACAAATCCAAAACATGGCACCATAGGGGCTGCTGACAAGAAATTTAACTCCATTTCAGCCAGGTCCACTATGGAATCTTGATTTGTGGATGGTTTTAGACAAAGCATGTCATTGGTACGTTACAAACTTAACTTTCTACCACAGAACCAGGTCCTTGCAGTTTTTCATTTCTATTTCTGTGTTTAGGAAAACCATGTCTGTGCTTTTTGTACAAGTGGGTGATGGTATTACTCCTTGCTTGCATACTTCCTTGTTATAACAGCATTCTTTGTTTTTACATCTGATTTAGTGTGACAGTTCTTTTGACTTATGCATAAAGGAAAAAAATATATAATTAAAACCTGTTGTTATGACAAAAAATAAGGATTGTCCTGATAGGGAGCTATGAAATGGAATTTCCAGGAATATGCCTTCTGTAGTTTTCAAGCCTTTTTTCATCCAATAGCTTGTTTTCTTAGTTGTGGTGGAATTTGCTGAATTTGTAAATTGCTGTATTTGCTGAACAGAGTAATTGAGAAGACTGTCTGAGGAAACATGAGCAGTCTTAAACATGCTATGAACTACACACCCAAACGTTCCTGTTAGCAGCCACAAGTTGGGCCATTTTCATAAATTCAGTCCAGCTCTGCAAGTCAGCTGCAGTTGCAGATCTGGATTGTTTGTGTTCTGGACATAACAGTGTTCTCCCAGCATTTTATTTAAAGTCAGAAACAAAAGTAAACCATTGTTGCTCTTAAAATGGTCACTGAAGTGAATGGGTGAATTGGACCAAAATCAATTTCACTAATTCCTGCAATCTCTCATCCATGAGTAGAACACAGCAAGAGTTCCATCAAGATAAATAAGGGAAGAATGTTAAACTGGACTGTCAGGCCAGAAAACGAAGCCAGGGTACTGAGTAGATACAAGATGTGTGCAGTTGAATTACTTGTCAGCTTCAGGTTCCCAAGTGAGCCTGCAGTTCTTCAACACTGGCTCTGTTCTCTGCAGCACAGCTGCTCTCACTGAGTAGCTCAAAGGAAAGCAAAGCTGCAGGTTTAAGTTTCAAGCACCACTAATGATGTATGATTGGACATTTTTTGTTGTAATGACAGATAGCAAAAATCATTTTTGCATTTAGAAAGGCATACAAAAGTAGTACTATTTAGGCTGCAAAGTCAAGCACTTCGGAGTTGAGAAATGCCAGTAACTTCATTTCCCATGCAACCATAATTTGACTCCTGTGTGGTGTTCTCAGTTTCATGATTACACAGTGTATTTTCTATGAGCCTGAATGGACTGAATACCATGGAGAACCAGAGAAATACAGCTTCAGTTATTCTGCTTTCTGATACTTGGTCAATTTAAGCTGAAATTAAAAGCCACATCTCAGTAGTGGCTCTGCACTGCAGCCTTAGCCTTTTGCTTTCCTTCTTTTTGCAAAGCGTAGTAGGTGTGCAATTTTGACATATGCACATCTATATTTTCTTTTGTTGATCCTTCGGATTCACTAGAAAAATAATTAAATGTTGTTTGTTTTTATAGTTTATTAAGGTTTTGAGGTCAAGCCATCAGTCAAAATAGTAGTTGGGCATACTTGAGGTATCTTACATTTCTGTTATACTTGCTAAGTACGAACTTACTCAGCTTGCCTGAGCTTATGCTCTTAGGAAATGTTCAGCGATGTGACTGCCTCGCAGAGCTGGAGCCACTGCCCCAAAAGATGTTGCTCGGCACTGCACACAGGACTGTTTGTACTGTCTGTGTTAATGTAACTGAGTTAATATCTGCAGCAGTGGGAAAGAAAGGGATTCTCAGAGATATCTGTCTGTATGACTAGCTGGACGCACCAGATTTCCCTAAGGCAGCCCAGGTTATTGCAGCACTCCTGAGAACACGCTAAGATGCTGCACTTGCGTAAGCTTATATTGTGAAAGATGCATAAGCACTTGCCATTTCCTGGCTTTCTAGTGTTAGGCTTTTCAGCCTTACCCTTGCCTGAACATATGTTTTCTGAAATGTATGCACTGCAACTACGTTTTGCATTTATATAACACCTTACTTCTCTGAAGCACTAATTGTATCTTGTAACTGTTAATTAAAATCAAAATGCAACACATTAGTGACCCAACAAGACCTAAGAAGATGGTACTTTTTGCATGCATAATAACATAAAAATATGTTGGTGGTGTTGTGTTTGACAGCGTTGTTAAATAATACATCTTGTGGCAGACTATCTTACTGCCTTGGGTAACAACACTGAATGTAACAGTTCCAAGATTTCTCATGGGTGCAATTTACCACAGACATATGTTCTTCATCACTGTTTCCAGCAGAATGTTACAAATTGGAGGGGAAACAGAATAGACCAAAACATAATGGATAATGATGCTTTTCAACAGAATGTTGGTTCTAGGCGCGTTTTTGGGGGGTCTTATTGGCAGTCATTATAAAAAAAAAAAAAAAAAGTAAGTTGTAAAATATCCTATTTATTTTATCATCTAATCCATTTATGTGGTCTTGTAAATATCTACGTAGAGCTTTGTACCCTCGAAACACATACAGAAGTCATACTGACAGAGCCATGACACAATCAAAAATGTATTTTTTCAGCTGGTCCAGTCCAGCTGGAGTATTCTGCTTCTCTAAGTAGGCTACCTGAAGGTACCATTGCCTCATACTCCGAGCAAATGCAAAAATCAGTACTGTTCTTGCAGCAAGCATGTCTATTACTAGA